TCCACTCCTGGTGGGAGTGCCAACTTGAACAGCCTCTTTGGAAATCAATATGGAGATTCCTCAGAAAAATGGGAATAAACCTACCACAAGACCCAGCAACTCCACTCTTAGGCATATATCCAAAAGATGCCCATTCTGTTCCACTATGTTCAAAACAGCATTATTTGTAATAGCCAGAACATGGAAGCAACATAGATGACCCTCAGCCAAGTAGTGGATAGAGAAAATGTGGTACATTTACACAATGGAGTACTATTCAGCTGAAAAAAAACAATGGAATCCTGAAATTTGCAGGCAAGTGGATGGCAGTAGAAGAAACCATCCTGAGTGAGTTAACCCAGTCACCAAAAGAGAAACATGGCATGTACTCTCTTTTTATGGATTTTAGACATAATCTGTGGAGTGCTATCCTACAATCCCATGGCCAGAGAGTCTTGGAAAAAGAACCATCATTCAGTGACTGATGGAAACAGAGGCAGACTCCCACAGCTAAGCACTGAGCTGAACTCCAGAAATCCCATAATTTAAATTAGAAATAAGGTTGCTTTACATGTCAATTCCAGGTCCATCTCCCTTTCCCTCCCCTCCTCCTGAGCCCTCCCACCAACCCCTCCAATATCCTCTCATTTCCCCACGGAGGTTGAGGCCCTACATGTGGATGTCCATAGTCTGTCATTTCATGCAGGGCATGGCCTAGACCCTACCCCAAGAGTCCAGGGTGAGAGTGCATCTCTCATTGTTGGATGGGTACCAAAATTCAATTTGTATACCCGGGATAGTTACTGATATACTACCCAAGGCTCAATAGATTGACACCCACATTAAGAGGGTTTTGATGAGTCCCATGCTGGAATCCCAGCCATCAGTCTGGGATTCAAGAGCTAACCCTTGCCAGGTCAGATGTTTCTGGGGGTTAAACCAGCCCAGTTTTAACCCCATTTCTCATGACTCCCACAGTTAATGGGACTTTTAACATAGAAAGACATGGAGAAGATATACCTTGCCTCAGTAACCTGTAATTAAGAATACTTATCTTAAGAAAAGAAGACCTTTCTTATGTCTCTATTTCAGGGTGCTTGTTTGAGCATTAATTGTTAACATCTAGTGCATTAGGGTCCCTGGGTAAGGTCTCACTGATGTCAGGACACAGGGCCTGCAGAGTAGAAGCAACTGCATGTCAAACTTTATTATTGTAGAACTTTTATATGTAAGTTTAGGCAAGCTGTATCACAATCTTCAATCCCACAATACTAACAAGGCATCAGCAGATGTGTCACTCCATGAAACAATGTCTGTACGATATTTAAAGTACTGAGTAGCAACAATCACTTCCATACATGTACAGAACAGTGAGCCACAGTTCACTGACTTTGAAAGCAAATTCATTATCTTGAGTACCAGATTCTGGTAGATCATTTCAATCATGCCAGCAGGTGAATGCTTTTAGCTATGCTTGGTATGCCAAGTCTCATGTTTAAACTATGCCTCGTTTGACCGAAGAGGAGGCATTGTACCTCATTAAGCCAGCTCTGTATCTCCAGAGGCTATACTTATGTTCTCTCCAGAATTCAAATTGACAATATCTACAAAATCTTGGCAAAACACCCTACATTCCATTACTGTCTACCAAAGAACAATCTGTGTTCTGAGAGTGTCAAATCATGGGATATGTTCCTAAAAGTACAAGTATAGCAGTATAAAACAAAACAGATTCTTGAGCCCAAAGATAAGTAATAGTGAAAGGAAAATAATCACAATAGCAGAAGTAGGTGATTGAAACTTCACATTTGAAATGTAAATGGTCCTCTCATGCCATTAATCCACTACATCACTTAAATACTGTAAACTTTGTAAACCAAATATTAATATGTTCTTTTTATATAATTCTGGCTGTAAAATAGAATATGGAATTGGCCTTTCTTTCCTTTTATGTATATATTTTAACCTGAGGTAAAATATTAATACATATATACAAAAGGTACTTCTCATACAACCATGACTAGGTAGAGTATAATACAAAGAATTACATAAGCAGAATAACGAAAAAGCACCTCAAAGTGAGGAATGAAAATTAATGAGCTATACAGTTTCTGAGATAAAAGCAAACATGTTTAAGACATGGTGCATTAATGTGTTATCATGTGAAAAGAGGACACTGTCAACATATAAGCCCAGATGATTGTTATATGTCATATCCTACCAAGTAGTAAAGAACTTATGATAAAATGTATTTCATGTTGGCAATTTCAGTATTTTCAGATTTAGAATCCAGCACCCACTGCTGTTTACACTAATGACTTTTCTACATCAAAACCTTTTTAAATATTTTGGCCATTATGAAAGTTATTCAGAAAGGACAGAGTTTACTTGCAACCGGATGTTTGTCCTGTATATACAATGAAATCAAAATGTGTAAAACTAAAATTTGTGACAGCTTCTGACTGAGAAACATTCACTTTGTGTGGGTCTGGTGTGGTAGACATATACCATTGGTTGGTTGGTCATGCCCAAGAATATGCCAAAAACATGGGTACATAGGGTTATTACAGTTGGCATCATTACTTTATAATAATAAGATTAGATGTGTTGAGCGGGAGTTTATATGAGTCAGGGAAACTGCAAGGATTGTCAGGGAAATGGATTTGAACAAGACACAATGTATACATACAGGGACTGACATGGGCTTGACATGTGAAACAAGCCTGCTTCTAATTTATATAAAAAAGATAAAAAGGAAGTCTTAAGAATTGAATTACTTATACCTCTCATCACTGATTTGCTTTAAAAAGTTAAAGATGGATGTTTATACAAATGAGGTACTACAAAGCGAAAGGGTAAATATTAACTGGTACTTAATTTCATGTTTATAAATAACTAAAGCCCTGGACTTATAACTTGCTACTTCATCAAAGATTAAATAACTCAAGAAACATGTGTTATTCTCATTTCATAGAATATTTTAAAGTAATTTTAACACTCAATTTAAATTATGTTTTTGTGAGGTATGCAAGCATACTTGTATCAAAATTTTCTGTTGGTGCTGGAAATTCTCCAATGTGCAAACTCTCATAGGTGAGTGCTGTCTACTGTTAAATCAATGCATATCCAAGGGTAATTTACATTTTATCCAGTGTTTAACTTTCCATTACTATGATTCTTTTTTTTATTCTTTTTTTTAAATTTAGATAAGAAACAAGGTTGCTTCACAAGTCAATTCCAGGTCCCTCTCCTTTTCCCTCCCCTCCTCCCGTGCCCTCCCCCCATCCCCCCCGTTATCCCCTCATTCCCCCAGGGAGGGTGAGGCCCTCCATGGCGGTGTCCATAGTGTGTCATTTCATATAGGGCAGGGCCTAGACCCTTCCCCAAGAGTTCAGGGTGAGAGTGCACCTCACATTGTTCTATGGGAGTCCAAAATCTGTGTGTATACTTGGGATGGGTACTGATCTGCTGCCCAAGGCTCAATAGATTACCTAGACCTCCTCACTGACACCCAGATTCAGGGGGTCTTGATCAGTCCCATGCTGGATTCCCAGGCTGATGCCTGGGATTCAAGAGTTAACCTTTGTCTGGGCTGCTGTTTCTGGGGGTTAAACCAGCCCAGTCTTAATCCCTTTGGTCATCAGTCCTCCCTCTCTGATACTGGCTTTCTGGAGTTCAGCTCAGTACTTAACCAGCCACTAAATGTAGTTTCTGTTTCCCAGACTCTCTGGCCATAGGACTGTGATTATTTTACAACACACATGAACAAGGATCGATAGATGAGTCAGTAACACAGATAGAGGACTCCAAATTAACTGCAAACATTTGCCGTGCATTGCTGGGTTTGAATTTCCCTCATTATTTGTAATAATGCATCACTTTTGGAATGCATGGCCTCTTCCAATAGGAGGCAAGTGTAGCTCATAAAAATATCTGTACTAAATGGTTTTCCACATCATGTTCAGCTGTGGGAGAATATCATATTCGAGTTCATGAAGAAAACTTATCTCAAGTCAGCTAATTTTGTCAAAACAAAATTTGATTGATATGTAAACCCATTTTTACACAGGAATTTCCAACAACAGGAAATATATGCAAATTTTAATATTATGTCTAGCCTTAAAAGCCCTTACAAATAGGAACAGAACTAATGAAGCCTAAAAATTAATAGAGTGGCTTTTGGTTTACTGAGATAATGAGGAAGATAGTTGTATTTTTTTAAATTGCTTGCCATGCAGGAAAATTCATGGTCTGGTAGATGGATGCACATACAACTGCATTAAATAAAATCAGTTGTTATTAACGATAACAAAAGAACAAAAGTTTCAAACATAAAAGTGATAATGGAAACTGGAGAGGAATTCTCTTGTTGGGGAATGTGTACATACTTCAAAATAAAATATTCATCTAATAACTTAAAATACTTCACGAACATGAAGTAAATGTGAAGAAAAATGTGGGAAACTTGCAAATGTAACTGATCAATAACCTAATAGGCTATACAACTGAGAAAGACATTCTTGAGAGGCAATCATATTTAAAATTCAGCTTTCTAAAATAAGTGAATGTTAATTTATCTCTTTTCATGATGGTAATTTGAGAAACTGTGTTTCAGTTAGGTCAAATTAGCAGATAGAGTGCAAAAAGCCCTTTTTCTTCAATCCAAGCAGATTTTTTAGCACTCTGATACACACACACACACACACATACACACACACACACACACACACACACACACACGTGTGTGTATGAGAGAGGTACAACTATAATTTAAGTACATGAAAAATAAATAGAAAAGGAGAAAAATGATATCACAAAGAGTATGCAGCCAGACACACTACACAGCCTAGTGTCAGTATTATGAAAATCCTGACAGGACTGGAGACTGTCTGGCAAATAGGTAGCATCCCCACAAATGTAGCTGGAAATTTGCTCAGCAACAAGCCACCATTAGACAGTGCTGTGTACTGCCAGTTAGCTGCAGAGCCAAAGGTGAACTATATTACATCCTGTCTTCCCAAATCAATTTCCCTGTTTCGTTCACACAAACAGGCAGGAGGAAGAGAGAGAGAGATGAATCAGCTCTCATGGAGATCTCTAAGAAATGTCGTCATTTGTTTCCATTCCTGGGTTTGAGATCTCTCTCCTGATTTGTTCTTAAAGCATCTCTAAATGCATGCGCTCCTCCAATCAGAGACAGACACATCCAACAAAACGTCAGTACTGGAGGAGTTTTTCCAGGCAGTCTCCTGGCGAAAGTCCAGCTCTTACCTGGAATTAGCCAAAGCCTGGCTGTAAACAACACCAGAGAAGGGAAACTGCCCAAGAGACCAGCAGGAGGCAGGGGAAATTAACACCCAGGAAAAGGTAGGTGATTGCTGGGGTTCTCTAACTCTGAAGCCACAGCTTCAGCCTTAATATCCGTGATTTCTGGCTCAGTCTTGGATCCTGCAGTGTGTGCCAGAAGATTTCGTTTTACCTCAGTACTCGGCAAAAATAGCGCTCCTATTGTTCGTATGTGCCCTTGGAGAATTAAGTATTAATGGCTATGGTTGGGAGAATACTTACATATCCCCCCTGGGACAGTGTGATTTTTAAGTGTCAGATCCCCAAATAAGTGTATTTGAGGAATCTGACTTGAAAACAGGAAACGTTAGTAGCCAGCTGTAATTGGCAGCCCAGAATCACAAGCAGCCATCAGTGGCAGAAAGAGACGATTTCATGTAGACAGCCTGGATAGAGGCCCAAGCAGCTGAATATATGTTTACATTTCCTCACCGCTGCATGTTTTTCTCTTTTCTTAAATTGTATTCACGGTCTAGGATAAATTATATTATTTCATGCCATCCGTTTTCTGAATCGTTGTTTCTGCTGCAGCACACGTTTAGTTAGGAGGGAGAAATGAATCAGCAGCTCTAACGGAGATTTCCAAGCTTTCCTAAGAATTTGTTTTCAATTGGTGGGATTGATATCACTCTTCTTATTGGCACAGGTCCCCTTTATTGCACACAGAGAGTCAAGGAGAGGTAAAAGGTTGTCAGAATAGCAGAGTATTATCAGCCAGATTCTGGCTTTATTCCAAAACTCAATTGTTCTGGAGCTTAAAAAAACCCACTGTCTATATTCCCTGACAAAAAGGCAACAAACTGTTCCTGATATTTGCAGAAAACAGAATGCATAATAAGGGAAATTCAGGGACTGTTTAATTCCTTGTAGTACGCCTTTGATTAAACTGATCTTGTCACCTGTATGGCAAGGAGAATCCTGCTTATTGAACGACTTATATTCATTTAAAATGTGACAACTGTTTTTTGCACTTGAATTTCTGCAGTGCCTGCAATGAAAATAATTCACTTGAGGATTTAGTATCTGACAGAGTACTGCTGTTTCTTCTCACCTGGGAGAGCCATTATGGAAATTGTTATTACATTGTGGTTATATTCATGAAGCCTTTGAGTGACTGTAATTAGAAGCAGAAATATCTGTAAAGTGAATGTGAAGGATATAGACAGATAGGAACCTCTTGCATGATCAAAAATATATTGCAAATGAACTGCATTCAAGCAGATTAATCTAGCAGGGGAGGTGCACACAAACTACCCTTATGCAAGGTTAATCCCACTGTTCTATGATAGGCAATATTAGTTCCTGTCAAGGATTCATCTTGAAAATGATTTCAAACCTTTGGCATAACACCCTGCACTCCACTACTGTCTAAAAGAACAATCTTTCTTTTCGAGTGTCAAGTCATGGGATATATTTCTCAAAGTACATGCATAGCAGGAATACACAAACCAGATTCTTGAGCTCAAAGTTCTGTAGTATTGAAGGAAAAATTATCAGGATAGCAGACACTAGGTGACTCAAAATTTAAATTTGAAATGTAATGTGTCTTCTCATCCCTTTAATCTGCTATATCACTCAAATTGTGAACACAATGTAAAACATATATTGATATTTTCTTATCTATATTTTTGTATGTAAAACTGGCTATAGCATTGCCTTTATTTCCTCATATGTATATGTTTTAACCCGAGGTAAAATGTCAATATATTTCTACAACAGACACTTCTCACACCACATAAAATACAGAGTATTACATAAGCAGAAAAAGGAAAAAGGACCTCAATGTGAGGAATGAAAAATTATTGAGCTGCAATGTTTCTTGGACAAAAGCAAACATGCTAAATACATGGTGCATTAACAGGGTATCATCTGAAAAGGGGACCCTGTCAACAAATAGGCACAAATGATACCTTTTTAGACGTGATATCCTAACAAGTAGTAAATAATTTCTATTAAAATTTAATTCACATTGACATTTTCAGTATTTTAAGTTTTAGAATCCAAGGCATACTGCTGTTTACACTAATGTGTGTTATTCATGAAAAACTTATAAAATATTTCTAACATTATGAAGGCTATTTAGAAAGGATAGAGCTCACTTGCAACTGGATGGTTGTCTTGTCTATATCATGAAATTAAATCATGTAAAACTAAAATTTGTTACACCTTTACATGATACCTTATGAATACACACAGTTTCACACAGGAAATCATTATATCTATCTATGTATCTATCTACATTTATATACATATAATTTTGTAGATACATACCATACTTTCATTTTTTTAATGTAAACTTCACAGTGAGTCACAGACAGACTATATATGAGTTTTCTTTACAGTCCTCACACCCCTTGCATTGAATTTTATGAGTATGGATGGCTGAAGAATGCCCAGGCTGGTCTCTATTTCCTGGCATTTATATCTAGTATTCAGAAAATAGATTGTAAAACTCGAGGAACACAGAGGACCATACCATACTTAGGTAGGAAGAAGGATACAATGATCTATTGAACATTTAACAATGTAGTCACTGATTTATATTCATTATTTTATTTATGGCTATACTTTGGACAGCTAGACATTTCAGTCATAAAAAGGTCATTTGGAATGTAAAAAACCTAGGGTACATTTTATAGTATTCATATTAAAAAAAAACAGGCATCATTATACATTTCCAGAACATGTGGCATGTGTGGTAACAGGAAGTTCTCTGATTATACATGGCCAGCTAATGGCCAGTGGCATATTTCTTTACAAGGATGAAAGCTATTATCAATCAATTACTTTTAACAAACATATGCATCAAAGCACTAATTTGATTGGTATGTGAGTATATTGGTTCAGGAACTTCCAACAGCAGTAAGTAAATCAATAATTCTGGTATTATATGTAGCACAATACGAGTGGGGACAGGACTAATTAGGGAAAATTTTATTAGAGTAGACAATTTATTTATTGAATTAAATAAGGGTGACAATTTGGACTGTTTTTCAGGAATGGTTGGTATGAGTGACCACTCATGTTATAATAGATGATGCCATATTGATGGACATAAAAATGCACTAAATGAACTCAGTGCTTACTAAGCACAGAATAATAATATTAGTTTCATATTTAAAAATGATATTATAAGTTGGATAGGATTTCTATTTGTAATTCTGTGGATTCTTAAAAAAATACATATATAAAATGTTAATAGATATTTTATAAATATAAACAACGTCTTAGAATAAAACCATGAAGGATATTTGCAACTGTCAGTAAATTTGGTGAGAATTTAAATATATTGAAGATTATCTTTTCCCAAAATGAAGTATTCATAATTTATTTCTTTATTTTGAAGGTAATATGACATAGCAAATTTCAGTTGGGCCTATTAGGAAGGGGGCTTGAAAAAACATATATTTGTTAATCCATGCACAATTTATAGGGCTCAGCAATAGGTAGAAATATACTATAGATTATAATTCAACTATGTAAAATTATATTTATATATTTTAATCATATATTATATTATACAATTTATACATGATATGATAACATATACAGTAAAACATTATAATTATATTTTAAATATGTCAAAACACCACACATAGAGTAGGTACACAAACAGATCACAAAGTTTAAGCCTCCTACCAACTCCCTAACCCACTCCCACATGTTCCTCAACAATAGTGAGATCTTCTACGGGGCATCATAAAAGTTCGTCACATCATTGGGGGAGGACGTTGGCCCCTCTCCGTGTATCTGAGATGAAATAGTACCCCTAGGGAGAAATACTGGTTCCACTGTTAGGGGTCCCATAGACTACCATTTGGAAATGATCCATGAAGATCCATTTTGAGACTATAGGAAAGCTCTTCGCCAAAAACAAATCAATTAACTCATTACTGGAACCCAAGAGAGATGAATCTGATGCCCCTTTATTAAATAAGTTTTTCAATTTTCACAATATCTTTCCAAATACACTTCAATCCATATCAGTTTTTTATGTGTATATGTTTACATATGTCTGAATATTTATGTGTTTGTATATATATGTATATATATATAAACACATGTATATATGCACATATGTGTTTATTTGATGTAGTATACAATAACATAGTTGAGTTATTTGTATATATTTTTATATTATTTTTATATTACTTCCCACTTACTAATACAATATATTTTTCTCTAATAAAAGTCAAATAAGCACTTCATATTAATATTAGTTTTTTGAATACATATAAATATGCAAATAACTAACTGACACTTTTTACATAATGTGGTAATTATGTATACCTGCTTATAGCATTGACCATTAAGAATTCTATGGCCTGTCAATGCTAATGTCAAGTGAAAATGGCTTATTTCTATAGCATCTAACAATTATCTGTCAATTTTCTCTAAGGTTGGAAAGTTGAGAGTTCTCATCTTCTGTCTTGGCATGATATATTATAGTGTAAGTGTACTTTCTTTTTTGATTGGGTGGCTTTGTGTCATTATTTCTTTTGTTTGTTTCTCAAGACAGGATTTTACTGTTTAGGCTGGCCTTCACTGTAATTTGCTCTGGAATCCTGATTGGCCTCAAACTCAGAGATATGCCTGTCTCTGTTTCCTGAGGTGCTGGGATTAAAGACATGTGCCAGACCTGACTAAACCAGCTTTAAATTTTATTTAATTTTTATTATTTTATTTCTTTTAGAAACAATTTTATTTTACATATAAAATACCCCAACAACTTGTTAGTCCATCCTCCAATTCCTCCACCCACCTACAAAACCCACCACACACACATCCAACCCACCCTCCAATCTCCCAACCCATCCCTACCCACTCTGCAAGGATAGTGAGGCTTTTGAAGAGGAATAATCATTTTACTGTTAATGTTTTAGATGAGTTACATCATTTCTAGCATTCTTGGCTTCACCTGCCATGAAATAATTATTTCTGACTATATATCTTGGCTATATAAAATTAGGTCTTTAGTTATTGTAAAGCTAATAAACTACCATATTCCTCTTCTTGATAAACATCATTTTAAGTTAATTATCGTATACTGTCTCCTACTTTTTTACTGTACAGCCAAGATCTTCAGGAATTTGGAATTTTTCAGTAAAATGCAACAGGATAGGAGTGAAAACCCTAAGCAGAGTGCAACAAGGAGTTATTTATCTTTTCTGCAGCAATTGTTTCTTTGAATATAAACCAAAAAATAGTTATTTAAATAATTCAATAGAGATGAATTTGTAGTATATAGAGTTATATATATAAATATATATATATATATAATCCAAATTGTGTGTGTACTCTGAGTTAAGAAAAATGTTTTATAAAGTTACATATATTTTCCTGAAATCTATAGAAATATTCTATTATATCTTTCACGTATCTGTGAGACATGTGATAAATGATACTCAATTTCCTTTTTTGTCCTCAACTTAAATAATACTTTATATATGAGTATACTTTCTGTCTCTCTCTCTCTCTCTCTCTCTCTCTCTCTCTCTCTTTCTCTCTCTGTCTGTGTGTGTGTGTGTGTGTGTGTGTGTGTGTGTGTTTCTGTCTGTCTGAAAATGCCACACCATAATAAGTATTTGAAATATATGAGGTGCTAAAGACTAGGTTTTGAGTATCCTGGTACTATATAGTATTCTATGATTAAATGGAAAACAGGATTTTTACAAACCTCTGAACACCCCATTGGTGATTATTTACCAGAGGGTGTATGTCCCTTAGAAGTACAAAAAAAAATTGCAAGCATTGCACTAAGACTACACTTGGACCCAGTAACAACAAACCTGTCTAACCGTTAGTCTAAATGGAATATGGTATCCAATGTAAGCAGGAGGCAATAACATTAACAAGACCTTGTTGTTGAATTTATTAACAAGTACTATATGTAATATGTTGTTTGTATTATCATACTCAGCTGTTTGGGAAGAGCCCAAGTTGAAGATAAAGGTAGATAAACTGTATATTTGGTTGTAAAGTGAGTTTACTCCTCAGGAGAATATAGTTTATATTCCGTGGGAATGAAGAAATTTTCACATTATTTCCTTTACTCCTACATTTCTTAGCAAAAATTCACTAAATTCTCAGAGTAACATAAAGCGTTGAGACATCTAAATATTTTCTCAATTACCTCTTTCTTAAATAACTCAGTGTATAAATTTCTCCATCTCTGTCCTCTCTCTGTATCTCTATTTCTTTCTCTTGCTTTCTCTTCTTTCCCTCCCTAACTCCTTTCTTTCTCTGTCTTTCCTGAAATCTATATTCATATGTATATATGTGTGTACTTCAAAGTACAATGTTATGGAGACAGATATCCTCTTCTAACACTTGTCTTCCAGTTGCAGGTCCTGTCATCAATCATGGTAGAAGGTGCATTTACTCACTGACATTAATTTGTCAATCTTCGATGATATTGTCAAGTTTGTGGATGTTGGACCACCTGGACCATCCTTTCAGGGTCTTGTTTAATCAAACAATATTAGACTGGGAGGAATCCAGTTTTTCATCTTCTGTGGAAACAAATGTAGAACCACTCTATCAAAACAACGTACCCACAGATGCAAAATTTGAAGTCAAGGTACTTTTATATTGATTTTGATTAGCAGTCCCCACACATTAAATGTATCTCTGCAGTTACCTCTTTAAGTCAAAATATCCCAAAAAATCCACAATAATATACATAATCCAGAATCTATGAGTATCTTCCATCTTTATATTGCTTTTTATATTATTTTACTCTATTTGCCCATGAAGGATTTCAGTTTATTTTCATTAAATGATTTTTTAATCTATGAGTCTGTCTATTTCATATTGTCTCTCTCCCAAACCCACCTACATTTGTCAAACATACTGTTACCTGTCAAGAGGCCTTTATATGTGAATTGGTTTTTACTGTGTATCTTTATTCTTTTTTGATTGACCTGGTTTTAAAGTGGTAATCAGGCTTGGCTAGTACTAAAGCACTAAAGGCTTTGGCTAGTGTCTCCAATCTGTTTGGCTTTCCAAAATTATGGTGTATGTTACTGCCATCTCTCAGAGCTATACTCACCCACCCAGCTCTGTGGTTTGGAGATACCTATATGTATAGCTCTGGGATTCTACCATGCTGTGCTCAAGCATGGATGCTTTGGCATATTTGTGCCATGGCAAGTAGGAGGCTATGGGACTAGTATACCCAGTGTAAGTACGTTTCTGTAAATTCAGTACCCTTTTAAGGTTTTTAAATAATGTTATGTGGATTTAACTGTCCTCTTGATATATATATATATATATGGTTACTCTCCTGGTTTCCAGTTTCCAGAAAAAACACTGAGAGTCTCAGTAATTATAATTGTTTGTTTAGTGAATCAGACATATTACCGCTACCTCTCATAATTAAATTAATCAATTTCTATTAGTTTGTATATTACCACAAGGCTAGTGGCTTATTACCTCACACCTTGCTTCCCCATAGACTACATGCCATATCCCCAACTGTACATTCTTTTTCTTCTTAATTGTGTTTGGAAATTCCACCTGGCTCTATTCTCTCTGTTCATTGGTCAAATCAGATTTATTAATCAACCATTAAAATCAACACATATTTGCAGGAAGCAGAAGGGCTTCCCACAGCATTTAGTTGTTTCAGTATAAGAATTATAAAAAGTTATTTTAAAACAAATGTTTACAGAGATAGAAAAATAACACACTTAAATATGGAAACAACTTTAACCCAATGTCTAAATGAATTTTCTTTCCAGGTTCTTTGATAATACCTCCCCCATATACTTTGTACAGTTTCATGATGATTGTAATGTGGTTAAGCTGATTGGAAAGGGGATGGAGAAACTAGAAAGACTTTGCTTTATTGTGTCTGTAAGTATTAAAATGCTGTGATACAGGAATGCTTAGGAGAGGCTAGATATATCAGAAAGTTGTGGCGATAAAAATGTCAAAACAAGAAGTCATGTACCTGTGATTTAGTTTATTTATTATTCATGAATATCACTTTAGAATCTTGGTACAAAAACTGCTTCTCAAACCTATAAAGACTTACTCTATTATGGTATCTCATATCCTGCCCTCCTCAATTCTTCTCCCAACTCAAATTTCCTGTTTCCCCATGTCTTCCTCACCCCTTGTCTTCAACCCATCTTTCTCCCAGCTTCTTCTCCCTTCCTCCCCCTCCCACATGCTCCCCATCCCCTCAGAAGATTCTGTCCCTGGTGTTCATCCTTACCCGAAAACTACAGATAAGCATGATTTATATGAGGCAATCTAGTCACACAGAAAGTTCAAAGAAAGTGTTATCTATGAATATTCATGGGCCTTTCCGGAATTCCAAACCTCCTGTTCTGTACATGGGGTATTTGTATATCCCATATTGCTGTCCATATTAATTTTCACAGGACATGTTAAGAATATGTGATACGTTGGAACTGATATTTACTTAATGATTTTCCCCATCTTACCACATAATAACTTTACTGAACTTCAATAGAAATGACACACAGCAAATGCAATTATAAGAATGCTCGAGAACTTAAGTGTAATTTCAATACTAGTCCTTTATGTGTTTTAGTTTGGTGAAATGTTTGTATTTGTTTGGAGTGAAATAGCAGGTATGAATTCTTGCTATGTTCTAAGAATTCTTATATACTTAATGCTTAAATTCAATACTATTATGACTTGTTTTCCTTCATTGTGTCTTAATTTTATAAAGGACAAAAAGCATGTCTTACAATTGCCTATTTGTAGTGGCAATCATTTATATTGACATTGTTTTCTATTATATCATTTAATTTATTTTTATTTAAATTAGAAACAAGTTTGTTTTACATTTCAATCCCAGTTCCCTCACCCATCCCTCCTCCCCTACCTCCACCAACCCCCTATCCCATCCCCTTTTTGTTGCCCAGGGAGGGTGATTCTTAGATGGGGGATCTTCAAAGGGTGTAATATCATTTACAGTAGGACCTAGGCCCTCCCCAGTGTGTCTTGGCAGAGACAGTAAACCACTATGTGGAGTGGGTTCCCAAAGTCCATTCATATACTAGGGATAAATATTGACATTCTTACCCGTCGTAGAAGCTTCCACACAATGAAAGAATACAGCATAGCATATTTCCAGTGGCAATCTAAGTACAATGCCCTATCTCCTCTATGGTATGCATGTAAAATTGGTGTAGTCTGTCTCAGATTGTATTCACTTATATTTTACTAAGAATGAAAATGTTAAAAGTTTTTATTTCTTGCACATTAACTGTTTTGCAGAAATGATTTTTTTTAATTTACTTGAATATTTAATATATTTCCCTGCTAACTTTTCAGTGGTATTCTACAAAATCGTGACTTTAAATGATCTACACTTTTGTGACTTGAAAATATGCTGCTCCGTTGATTGTGCTGTCTTTCTATATGATATTATTTTCATTTTCTTTCTGTTGTTGATGATGTTGTACCTACACTCTCAACACAGAAACTTCTGCTTTTGTAAGTCATTGGCATCTCACTGAGCCTTAGTTCTTGAGGCCTTTACAAATTATTTTGGTTTGTGGTTTTGTGTTCCTTGACATCAAAATTCAGATGAGCAGGAAACACATTCACTCCGGACTTCATCTCCCTCCATGATCTTTTTAAGTTATATATTATGGTTTATTTTTAGAGCATTCCTGTGTTCCCATATGTTTACCATTATCAACACTCTAAAGATTTTTTTACCACACATGTGTGAACATCGTACTGCAAGACATATATCCATGTCAGTTGACATCCCATGTTGGGTCTGATATTACTTTTGTGTGTTTAAATTCCTGACAGATATATGGTTAATTAATTTTGGTCGACTAGCAGTGAAATAACTCTGACAGAACCACTTCACTATTGTCAGTCACTAGAATACACTCTATCCTGTTGTAGGCAGATTTTTCTGTCCTTCCAGCAAATTCCCAAATATTCACCCAAAGTCTTATTATTAATTATAAAGGCTCATGCAATTACTCAAGCATTTAATGAGCCAACTCTTATATTTTAAATTAACTCACTGCTTTCCCCCATGGCTTGGTACCTTTCCTCACCATAATACCACCAGTTCTTCTTCCCAGCAACTTCATAGACTTATTTCTCCAAAAAAATGTATCAGATTCTTCATTAAACCAGTAATGGTGACTTATTATCACACCATATAAAGCAATAATCCATATTCCCACATTTTATTTAATTTAAAAGGAAGGTTTTATCTTTAATGTAATAATTATATACAAATAAACTTTTTTTAAGTCAGAACTACATTTACAATATTAAGTCTATTTGAATTTGTATAAATAAAGAAATTACTACATCTCTCATCTCCTGAAGAATGCAGAGATTTGTACCTAATTTTCTTTCTACAATTGTTATTGTAACTATAACTACGGAGTGTTCACCCCCATCTAAGACATGAAAAGAATATAATGTTTCCTGAGGAAGTGGAACTAAGTCACTTCACATATTATCCTATGACAGAAACACTTGGCTGCCTAGACAGTCACCATAGATTCCTTGATAACTTTCAGGCATTGAAATTTGCCAACAGCCATTTTAGAGAAGCATGAAAATTTGAAAGACTGTCCTATCTTTTCTTGCCAAATTTTTTCAGTCGCAATCCTTTGCATTCTGCTGTCTCAGTTTGGACAGTATAATGTCAGCAATTGAATAGAGGGCTGATTCTTGGCCAAGTGACTACATTTTCCAATGAAGAAAAAAGAAGCTCCATATGGAGGTTCCTCAATGCCTGCAATCATCTTTGAAGTAAATGGGTGCTGTCGGGAGATGTGGGGTTAGTGGTGTTAGGGAATATCTTTTCCCATTCAGTGGACTGCCTTTTTGTCTTGTTGACAATGTCCTTTGCCTTACAGAAGCTTCTTAGTTTCAGGAGGTCCCATTTGTCAATTGTTGATCTCAGTGTCTGTACTACTGGTGTTATGTTCAGGAAGCAGTCTCCTGTATGAACTCATTGAAGAGTATATCCCACTTTCTCTTGGAAGAGTTTCAGTGTGGTTGGATTTATGTTGAGATCTTTGATCCAACATAAGTTTTGTGCAAGGCAAGAGGCATGGTTCTATCTGCAGTCTTCTGCATGCCAATACCTAGTTATGCCAGCACCATTTGTTGAAGATGCTTTCTTTTTTCCATTGTATAATTTTAGCTTCTTTGTCAAAAATCAAGTGTTCCTAGGTGTGCGGGTTAAAATCAGGGTTTTCATTTCGGTTCCATTGGTCTACCTGTCTATATTTGTGCCATTACTAAGCTGTTTTCAGGACTATAGCTCTATAATAGAGCTTGAAGTCATGTATGGTGATGCCTCCTGAAGTCCCTTTATTGCATAGGGATGGTTTGGCTACCCTGTGCCTTTTGGTTTTCCATATATAGTTTATTATTGTTCTTTCAAGGTCTGTGAGGAATTGTGCTAGAATTTTGATAGGGATTACATTGAATCTGTAGACTGCTTTTGGCAAGATTGCCATTTTTATTATATTGATCCTACCAATCCCAGAGAATGGGAGATCTTTCCATTTTCAGGTATCCTCTTTGAATTCTTTCTTTAAAGATTCAAACTTCTTGATATACAGTTCTTTCACTTCTTTGGTTAACATTATCCCCAGATATCTGATACTGTTTTTGGCTATTGTAAAGGGTAATGTTTCTCTGATTTCTTTCTCAGCCACTTCATCATCTGAATATAATACGGCTACTGATTTTTTTAGTTAACCTTGTATCCTGCCACTTTGCTGAAGGTGTTTATCAGCTCTAGGTGTTCCCTTGCATAGTTTTTCAGATCACGTATGTAAACTACCATATCATCTGCAAACAGTGAAAGCTTGACTTCTTTTCAACTATTTGTATCCCCCTAGATCTCCTTTTTTGTCTTATTGCTCTTGGTAGAACTTCAAGTACAATATTGAAGAGATATGGAGAGAGTGGACAGCCTTGTCTTCTTCCTGATTTGAGAAGAATGGCGTTGAGTTTCTCTCCATATAGTTTGATGTTAGCCATTGGTTTACTGTATATTGCTTTTATCAAGTTCAGGTAAGTTCCTGTTATCCCTGATCTCTCTCTAGGACCTTTATCATGAAGGGGTGCTGAATTTTGTCAAAGGCTTTTTCAGCATCTAGTGAGATGATCATGTGGTTTTTCTTTTGCAGTTTGTTTATATGGTGATTACATTGAAAGATTTTCTAATGTTGAACCATACCTGCATTCCTGGGATGAAGCATACTTGATCATGGTGGATGATTTTTCTGATGAGTTCTTGAATAAAAGTTGAGAGTATATACGTATAATCTGAAATGTATTCTGAAATTCATTACATTCTGAAATGAATACCTGAGTTTGTTTCTTAATCATCATACTGTGAGATAATATATGCAAATGGATATTGCCCTCATCAGGCCTTAAATGTAACATTTTTATTTGTAATACAAGCATTATAATTTGGGCACATGAATGTGTGTGTGTATGTGTGTGTGTGTGTGTGAGTATATTATTCAGCTTTGATGTAGTTAAGTATTTCATACGTGAGTGCTGTATTTTTATTTTCTCATGCTTCTTTCTGCTTCCTCTTACAATTCCATGTCTGATCTAGTAAATGTCAAAATAAATAACACTTCCAAATCAAATTGTTTTTCAAATATATGCAGATGTGTACATAACTAACCCACACTTCTTATAATTACCTGATTATGTGTATCCAACTTAGCATTAGCTGTTTGAGATATAAAAGGTTATCAATAATACTGACAAGTAAAAATGTTTTCTTTATGTCATCACATAAATTATTAATGACCAGCTTCTCTGCTGAGTGTTAGAAATTGAGACAGTGTCCAGTCTATTGGAATGATAAATTGTGTCAGTGTTATAATCTGTTTGTTTCTTTGTTTTCATTTACCTCTTTATTTTGTTTTTCTCAAGGCAGTGTTGCTATCTGTAGCCTCCACTGCACTTTACCAACTTCTGTAGCCCTGAATGTCCTGAGACTGGGATTAAAGCCATGTTCTACTTGCCAAATTTTAAACTTTAGTGTTAGTTTCATAGGCGGGTTCCATCATGCCAGGATCCCATGTTTCACCAGGAATGAAAGAATTATTTCAGGCTATATATATATATTTGTTATTGACTAGCTCTCACTTTATTAACCGATTTCTACTAATCTGTGTATCACCACATGGTCTTTGTTTACACGTGATTGCCATGATGTTGTGTCCTCAGAAGCTACATGACATCTTCCTCTGTCACCTTTCTGAATTACTCTTCCAAGCATTCTCCTAGTCTGGTAGGGCAACCTGTACTCCCTACCCGGCTGCATCCTGCCAGCCCATTGGCAAAAACAACTTTATTCACCAACCGGTACATTCAAAGCATACAAAAGGACATTCCTCTACATATCACAAAACTGTTGCCAAGCGAGAACTGTAAATAGTATTTACTTATTTCACATTTGGCAAAATTAAAAAAAACACCCTATTATCTATCCTAACTTCTGTAGTCTAAAGTTTTATTTGTAATGTTTCTTTTATCATAATTAGTGAAAACCATAATTATAATATCTGTCTTCAACTCCATCAAAGACACCAGAAAGATAATATATAAACCCTAGAATTGACAGTGATGTCTCACTACCTGGACAGTCACACAAAATTTCTCTGTAATGTTGAGGCATCCATTTTCAGTCTATAGGCAATAGTGCCTGGAAGACTTTTTAAAGAGGCAGGAAATTTGAAGATCTATTCTGTCTAGTTGTGGACAAGTTCATCTTTTGCCTTCTTCTGTAAAGCAGAAACCCTGAAGAACTACCCTGTTTATTGGCAAGTTCTGCAGGCACTTTCCTTTATAACTTGGCTGCCCAGTATAGACAGCATGTTTATTGTATTGTTTTATTATTTGATGAGATTAATCATAAGTTTTTATCTCAAACACTGTCATTGCTCAGTTTACTGCATGGTGCTAATGCATTGTTTTTGGCAGATATGTCTTTCACACAGGGCTTTGTGAAACACTATGGGAAGCAGCTAGGTAGCCTATCTCATTGTGTGCTGGTGAGACTCGCAATGGTGACTGAAGCCCAAAGTGGATAGGAGACATGTCTCTGTACTACAAACAGCATGGGATACATGAGATTAGGAAGCCATATAGGACTCCGTTTTTATATGTTTAGTGCCTGGTTTTAACCTATATCAGATTTTATGTGGATGTAGGTGCTAGATGTTTGGGCAACATTTGTAGACAGAGTTTTTCCTTGGGACCACTGACCAGGTATAAACACACAGAAACTTAATATTAATTATAAATGCTCAGTTGTTAGCTTAGGCTTATTACTAGATTGTTCTTACAACTTAAAGTAATACATATGTTTTATCTAAGTTCAATCACATGTGTCATGACTTGTTACCTCTTTTTCTAAAGTCCTGTTTCCACAGCATGTGGCTCACTTTTCATCCAAGTGTCCTCAAACGCTGGCTCTCTAGTCTAATACCTTCATGCCTAGCTATAGATCTGAGCTCTTTATAGATCATTGAAGATAATATGTCCATATACTGTACAAGGACTGTTGCACAACAATTATGAGTATTATTGTATGCATTTCTCTTTGTGTGTGTTTGGGTGTGTGTGTGTGTGTGTGCATGTAGGAGCATGTGTACATGTTATTTTGCCATAACTGTGGTGAAAACAGGAAATATGAGTAAAATGTTCTGCTTTTGTTTTTATTGTCATTGATACTAGAATTTTTGAAGTTTTCTAATTTTGGAATCGCTTAGAAAATGAGAATAAAGGAGTAAAATATGAGAAGATGTATGGTAATTCACTCAATGTCTTATGATTATTAGTTTTATAGTGACGTTAAGACTTTTTATATAAAACTTTGGGACTTTATAAGCCTTATGTAGGTGTTACTAATCACATGAACTATTTTACTCTTTAGCAAAAATAATATGAAATCATTTATTATTCCAACATTTTCTGTTCCTGAGGAATTTTCTGATGTTGATGTTCATGTTTCTCTCAGACTCACACACTGAGCAGGTGCTTCTTTCACTGTTACACAGACCTACACCTAAATAATGGTGTTGTAGGTTAAGATGCTTTCTGCTTTGAATCCATTACTATTATTTGTGTAAAATGTAACTGAATTGTCATGATATAATAACATATATTCTGGCTGTAATTTTAAAATCTAGGCATTGTGGGTAAGTCTCATTATTTCTTTTTAAACGTAGTTTGTGCTTCTTGCTTTAAGAAAATTATGTAAGATTTAGAGAGATCTACTGCTGGTTTTCTGCAATAATTTCTCTGAGAATTAAAAAAAGTTTCTCTTGTATTTTTAAAACTAAGGATAATACAGAGTAACTTAGGATACTTTGTATACTTCCATTTAATATTTAGAAATTCTGCACGTATTCATGACTTTATTAGTTGAATTTTAAAATTCTTTTTTTTTTTTGGTTTTACAAGACAGGGTTTCTAGTATTGTTTTGGAGGCTGTCAGTCCAGCCTGACCTCAAACTCACAGAGATCCGCCTGCCTCTGCCTCTCTAGTGCTGGGATTAAAGGTGTGTGCCACCACCGCCCAGCAAAATTATTTTTTTTGGAATTAGTATTTAATAGTAAACTGGTGTCATATATTTGTATGAATATTGATGATATTTCCCCAATATGCTATCTCACCTTCCTCTTTCTTCTGCTTAAGCCTTAGTTTATAAATTATACTAGTATTTAATTTTAAATTTGTTTGAATTGCATAGAATACTATATTTACATAAATTCTATGTCTCCATCTCTTCAACTTTTCCTAAGTATTCTTCTTCCTCTTTCAAAGCTATAACCATGTTCATAATAATTTTTGTTTTACATAGTTGCGTGTGTTTGTAATAAACCCTGCTTAGCCTAATTAATAGTCATATATCTCCACTAATCTCTATTTGTAAGAAATAGTATTTATAATATTTCAAGAATACATGGGTTTAAGAAAATGATGGGCAGTAAGTAGCATGTAATACATACTAATAATAACAGTAAAAAAGTATAATATATGAGGCACATAGAGCCATGTGTTGAGTGTGCTGTCCCTAATAATTTCACTGTGACAAACTGAAGGATGAGATTTAAACAGGACTGATTAATTCTTCATTGGTGATTATTAATACATATAGGTTAATCAATATATCATTTGGACTCAATGTAATTCTATATTCCTCTATCAAAATGAGATTAGTTGTTTTTTATTATTTCTGTAACCATTCCAGTTTAAGGTTCTTGGCCATTTTTTTTCAGTGTGGCCTGTAACTTTCATCTTAAGAAGTTAATCATTACCTTCCTAACTATGTAGTCACTTCCCTATTACTTAGGATTACAGTAACACTGTAACTGAAGACTGACAACTATTTTCTATTTTAGGGTATGTAACTCATGAGAGTGTGAAAGTTTTTTTTCCTTCTCAACATATGTTTTTATTTACATTAGAAATGTGAATGTTTTACATGTCAGTCCCAGCTTCCTCTCCCAGCCCTCCTCCCTTATCCCTCTACCAATCCCCCAACGCCCACATCATTCCCCAGGGAGGGTGAGACCCTACTTGGGGGATCTCTAAAGTCTGTCATTTGATCTTGGGCAGAACCCAGGCCCATCCCCATATGTCCAGGCTGAGAAAGGATCCCTCTATTTGGAATGGGCTCCCCAAGATCATTCATAAACCATGGTGAATGCTGATCTAATACCCAAGGCTACAGTGATTTCTGTGGCCTCCTCCCTGGCACTACATTCATGGAGTCTGGATCAGTCTCCTGTTGGTCTCTTATCCATCAGTCTGGAATTCAAGAGATCCCCCTTATCCATTCAGCTGTCTTTGTGGGTTTCATCATCATGGTCTTGACCCTTTTGCTCATCATTCCTCCATCTCTCTCACTAGGTTCCAGGAGTTCAGTTCAGTGTTTAGCTGTGGGTATCTGTCTCTGCTTCCATCAATCCCTGGATGAAGTTTCCAGGATGACATATAAGGTAATCATCAATCTTAGCATCAAGGAGGGGCAATTAATGTAGTCTCTCCACTGTTGCTTAGTTTGCCAGTTGGTGTTATCCTTGTAGATCTCTGAAGATCTCACTAGAGTAAGCTCACTCCTCAAGCCTATAATGACTCAATCTATTATGTTATCTGTCATCCTCCTCACCTCTATTCTTACCTCGACTCAACTTTCCTGCTCCTCCATGCCTTTTTCTCCCCTCCTCTTATCACCCTCTGTGTTTCTTGGTTCCATCTCGTTTCACCCGATGTTCCCAAAGTACTCAGGAGATCTTGCCTCATTCCACTTCTCTGGGGTGTCTTTATTTTTTATTTTTTTTGGTTTTTTCAAGACAGGGTTTCTCTGTATTGTTTTGGAGGCTATCGGTCCAGCCCAGCCTGGAACTCACAGAGATCTGCCTGCCTCTGCCTTCCGAGTGCTGGGATTAAAGGCGAGCGCCACCACCGCCCGGCTTTCTCTGGGGTATCTTGCTTCTCTCTTTGGAACCTCCTTGTTTCCCAGAGTCACTGTCCCTGGGATTGTAGGCTGACACTCCCATGATCCATATATAAAATCCATACATGCTTATTATCTATAATTTATGATTTATTAAGGCATGCCTGGGAATTCAGAAACCGAAGTCAGCTAAAAGTATATAAGTCAGACATACACTTTTAATCCAGGAAGTCAGAAGCTAGGATGTGGTGGTACACACCTGTAGTACTAGGACTCATGATTAAGAGATAGATGGATCTCTGTGAGTTCAAGACCACCAAGGGATACATGAGACTGAATCTGTCTAAAAGAGTAATAGGTCACATGCCTTTAATACCAGAATTAGGGGGGATTAAATAATAAAAATAGGTTGTTCAGTGTCCAGTATGAGGCATTCATTCCCCAGTCACACTTGGCTTGATAACTTGGTGAAGAGTTTGTGTGTGGATCAGCCCTTTCAGTCTGAGCTTGAATTGAGAGAAAGTGGAGGGCTACTTTGCGTTTCTGACCTTCAGCTTAATGCTTGAACCCTAATATCAGTCTCTGGGTCCTTTTATAACTTGTGTCACAATTAACCTTCAGCTATATCAGAAGCATTTAGTCTCCATGAGTCTTCTAACTAACCAATGGAAGGGTTTCTGTTCTATGATACATAATTAATCAGGGACTTCAGAAAAAGGTTCACATCATCATATGTGGAAGTATACCTGTCCTTTGGAAAAGATCTGTGAAGCTCCAGTGGGGGGACACAGGGATGCTATTGGCCAAGAAGCAAACCAAACAACTTTAACTGGCAACCAAGAGATATTATTCTGATACTCCTTCATGGTATAAAATGTGCAATTTTCACAATATATCTCTGAATATACTTTGATTCTTTTCAGTTACTTTCATGTGTATACATGTTTATGTATGTGTATATGTATATTTATATATTTTGTACATATATATGTACATATTAATGTATGCACATGTGTACTTCTTTGACGGAGTTTGCGATTTCACACATGAATACTGCATTTCATTATTTGAACTTATGCTTTCTGCTTCGTGCTGAAATACAATGCCTGCTGTACTACAATTCAAGATAAATGCAACTTGTTATAAAAATTATTTTTGAAAATATACAAATATGTGTAAAACTAACCGACACTTTGTACAAAATGTGGTGATTATGTATACTCGGAACTAAAAAGTATATCGTTGTTATTGTCAAGTAGAAATGCTTGCTAAGTTAGCATTCATCATTCACCAGTAGCTTTCTGCTAAGTTTAATAAATTGAGAGAATTTATCATTTGATTTGAAGTTACATATTGCTAGCTTTTATCATGACTTACATTATCTCTAACATTCTGCGCATACCTGGAATAAAAGAAATATTTCTGACTATCTAAGTTTACTTTATAGCTCAAAAAACTACCAGCATGCCTATTTCAGTTTATTATTATACCAGGTATCTCTCTTTTTTATCTGTACTTCTTTGATTCTCAGGAAATTGGATGATTCCAGTCACATGGAGAAGGATAGAAGCCTATGAAAACAATGAGGATCTTCATGCATCAGAGTGCACCAAGGAGATATTTATCTCTTTGTGCCATAATTGCTTGAAAAACTTCAAAAAGTGTCCTTTAACTATTTCAATAAAGATGAATTTGTAATATATATATTTGTAAGACTTGCTTAGTGACAGTCAATGTTATTTTTGATCCTCAAGCTTACTTCAAATTATTTTGTGAATTTCTCTCTGACTCTCTCTCTGTCTCTCTGTCTCTCTGTCTCTCTGTCTCTCTGTCTCTCTCTCTCTCTCTCTCTCTCTCTCTCTCTCTGTATGTGTGTACATGTGACATTGAGTAAATGTTAGGAATACAGGAAATAAGATTGAAATGGCATGCTTTTGTTGTTATTTTCTATATATTTACATAAATACTGGATTTCTTAAGTTTTATTGTCACATATCATGAGGACAAAATAGTAACACCTGGGTACTTGATGGGCACTCAACAATGTCTTATGAACATTAGATTTTAAAATAATGTCAAGACTTCTCATCTAGAACTTCGGCACTTTCTAAATCTTATGTCAGGTGCTACTAATCACATGAACTATTTTACTGTTTACATGTATATATCATAAAACCATTTGCCATTCCTTCTTTTTCTTGCTTTTGTGATCCAGAGACATGGTCTCATGCTGATGTACATGCTTGTTTCAAACTCAGGCATTGAATGGGTACTTCCTCCACTGTGACACAGACCCAAACCAATATAGTCCATATAAACACCATGTGAGGAATACCACAATGCCAAATACTAACACATGAAGATCTCAGGACCAAGTATTGAGTGTCCTGTGATAAAATGAAAGTCAGGATTTAACCTCACCTGCCTAAGACTCTTGGTGACTATTTCTGAAAGGCTCTATATTCCTTATAAGCACAATAAAGAGGAAATAGCAAAAGACTAGAATTTGAATCTGTAGCCACAAGCCTGTCAGTACAATAGTTTAAATGGAAATATGGTTTCCCAAGTATGCATAAGTCAAATACCTTTAATAAGACCTTGCTGTTGATTTAATTCAGGAATTGTAGTATGAATTAACATGTTGTTTTTATTACCAATCTCTACTGTTTCAGAAGAGTTAGCTATGAATGTAAAGTATGATAAACTGTTGTGTTATTTGTAACATAAGTACACAGCTTAAGAGAACATCCTTCATATTTCCTGGGTATGAGAGACTTTCAAGTGTTTTCTTTTATGAAATATATCATACATTTCTTAGTGAACTCCATTCTCTAGATTCTGGTCATACATTAATACCTCTAAGTCATTTCTCAGTTACCCCTTTAATTACTAACTCTATCTCTGTGTTTTTCCAGCCTCTCTCCTCTATCTGTCTGTGTTTTCTCTTTTTCTTTCTCTTAAGTCCTTTCCTTTCTGTAGTCTTCCTCCCTTATACAATTATGTTTAATTTTACTAACCTTCAACAAAGACTATTCATAGTAAATGCATTTCTAAGTATATTCAAGAACTTAAATGTATTTTCAATACTAGTCCTTTGAGTGTTTCTTTGAGGTTATTGCCATGTCTGGCTTGGTTACTAGTGAAATGGCAAGTCTGAGGATTTTCTATGTATTACAAATTCTTATATATTCAATATTTGAATGCAGAATTTTATGGTTTATTTTCACTTAATATATTTAATTTTCCAAAGAGCAAACAGTGAGTCTTACAACCAGTCAGCTTGTCATTCCCCAAATTTAGTCCTACATTCTTTTCTTCTGTGAAAACTTTCATACATCACACACATGCAGTATATCATATTTCCAGTGGAATATTAAGTACAATGTCGTATTTTCTTTAAAGTATTTCTATCAGATTATATATTCTGTATCTGGTTGTTTACAGTTACATTTTATAAGAATGGTAATGTGAAAAGCATTTGCTTTTTGCATAATTATATAGTTGAAAAAACATTAATTTTGGAATTTCTTTGAATATTTAAGACAATTCTCTGCTAACATTAGAGTAGTATTTAACATCTTTTGAATAATAGGTGATATAAAATTTTGTAATTTGAGTACATGTTGCTCCAGTAAGTGAACAGTCTTTCTACGTATAATTTTTTAATTTTCTTTCTCTTGTTTGTGATGTTCAACATGTAATTTCAACACAGAATCTTCTGGCGGTACAAGTAATTTTCATCTCACCAAGACACAGATGCTTGAGTGTTTTCAAATACTTTGTGTCTGAGGTATTGGATCCCTTGACATCATCCTGCTGGGGAGGAACATATTCACCCAGGACTTCACCATCTCTCCAGATTATTTTTATTTTACATTTTATTTTTTACGTTTGTGATGAAAATCACTGTGTTCCATTATAACTATAGTTTTGTAAATTGTGGAGACTTACTGGGTAGGCAGAATGTAAATCTGACATCTCATGTTAGCCTGCATATTAGTTTTGTGAAACCAAACTGCCAACTGAAATTCAGTTATTTTTTTTCGTTTTATATTCCAACCACAGTTCTCCCTCCCACCCATTGTCTCACAAACCCTGCCTACCCCAACCCCCCACTCCCAGTCCATGTCTCCTCATGTTAAAGGCTAGAAGGAAGAGACAACAAAATCTGGCACACTAGGTTGGGAGAGGGCTAGGTCCCTCTAACATGCCTTAAGACTGAGCATGGGATCCCACCTTGTGGAGTAATCTTCAACAAGATAACTGATATACCTGGATAATATCATGATCCTACTGTTACTGAGAATGGCATCTCACCATAAAGAATGGTCTCCAACCAGCTGGTTCATGTACCAAGATTCCATTCTGGTCTAACTGCCAGTGGTCCCTCAGGTAGCCCCAGATCCAAAACTGTTTCCTACATTTTGATGGCCTAGTTTCGTCCCCTGGAGTCTTCACAGTTGTAGGTTGTAGGAAACTTCATGAGTTTCCCTGAGCCTGCTTCAGCTGTCTTTGTAGATTTTTCCATCATGATATGAGCAAGAAATGCCAAAATATAGTTATATCGGGGGGATGTTTCACACTTTGTCTTTACAGTATACACACATAATAACCATTTGTATCTCTTAGGGAATACATACAAATATATACAAGTTCATTTATGCTTTACCAAATGCAAATATTTAGGTTAGTGGCAAATGTTTTGTAGCTGGACATTTTTTTGAATCCTGCCTTATCCCACAGTCACTTATAAAATATTCACTCAAAGTCTTAATATTAATTATAATTTTATGGCTTGTGACTCCTGAATATTAATAACTAGCTTTCACATTTATGTTAACCAATTTCTACTAATCTGTGTATTGTCACCTAGCCATACTTTATCAGTAATGAACTGTCATCTTACTCATCTGCCAGTTATGTGGCCTCTCTCTGACTCCATCTTCTTTCTCTGTTTCTTTGTTTGGAGTTCCCACCTACCTCTGTTTTGCTTGGCTACTGGTAAAATCAGCATCATTATTAGACAAATATAATAAACATATTCACAGCATACACAGACACTTCCCACATCATCTCCCCTTTTCTGTCTAATGAAAAATGCTTTGAACTTTAACATTTTAAATTTCAATACTAGACAACAGGAGACAAATAAGTATTATAGTTATTAATCCTATTTGTATTTGAGAAGTTTAAAAAAATACTCTATCATCCATGATATCATTGTGAGTGAGAAGTTTACTACGTAATTTACATTTTATTATAATTAAGAAAAACTATAATTACAGCTATCTATTCCTCAATGCCATCAAATACCCAAGAAGAATATAATATTAGCTAAGTAAACAGGAAGTGCATTTTAAGCAAGTTCCAAAACTTCATATGTTTGACTTGATTTTGTGCTGTTCTTATGGAGCCTCAATGTTAGCACACTGTGCACTAAGAACACAAATTCCAGAAGATATTTCATACCAGTCCTACACATTTCCACCTCTTATATCCTTCCCATGTTCCACTTACTCTTATTCTCTTTCTCTTCTCCTAATTCATACAAATATACCTATTACAGAGTTGTAGATTGAAAAAGACATAAATAAACTGTAAAAACAGAATTAAGTCTCATAACATAGGGATCCATAGTAGTGGAAGAAATTCTTAGCAGAAATTAAGAGAGTAACCAGGGGCAAGTGTCTAACAGGAACAATAAGTGAAATGAGAGACTCTGTTTTTTTTTTGAAACAACTATTCCAAAGATCATTTAGCACACTCATCAATTGGAAAAATAGCATTTGTAAATTATGCTTAAATACTTGCTAATTTGTTTTTATCAAAGGTTGAATTTTCTTTCCTTCATGGGACCTGACCTTGTATTTGATTAAGGTGACTTTATTCTTGCCCTTTCCTGGGTAAAAACATGCAGTATTTCAGGAAACCTCTACTCAAGTTATTATAAATGAATGACAATTATGGGAAAATATGGATGTGGCCATAACTGTTATGCATTCGTTATTTTACCATTTAAGGAAGAAGATGAACACTGTATTAAAAATTAAAGTGTAATCTCCACAGCAGCTTCCAATACCAGCAGAAAAAAGCAAGTAGTTAAAATTATGCTTCAGTGGGGATATATGGCTATTGTCTAATGTGACTGTGTGACAATTTTTCTTGAATCATCCAGCAATGTTGCATATACCTGGGCAGGGCACTTACAGAAGAAATGCTTTTCATGGATTGAAAGCAGATAGAAGAACTCTCTCTTACACATAGGACATAGGAATTTCCAAGATAGACAGTCACTACTCTGTGTCATTCCCAAAATAGTTCTAGACACATGAGTGGTAAGGAGTTGAGTGTATCCATCAATGTCTAAGCAATGTGAACCAAAGAAAGTACTCACATTTGTCTGTTTTAATGGGTCAAGTCTTTCTATTGTCTATGAATATATTTTCTCTTATTGGTTGAGGAACAAAACAGTTTCAGCCAATGGACATGCAGGATGTAGTCAGGCAGGAAGTATAGGTGGGGCTATCAGACTAGGAGAAGGATGGTAGGAGAAACAGAGAGTTCACAGACATCCTGTAGCTACCAAAGAGTAACATGAAAGAATTTTGTGAATAATTCTCATCCTTGTGGCAATACATAATTTATTAGATATGGGTTAATAATTAAGAAATAGTGAGCCAATAAGAAGCCTGAGATATTAGC